CACACACACACACACACACACACACACACACACACACACACACACACACACACACACACACACAGAGAAGAAGACAGCTCTCCAGAAAGGTCAGTCAATGATTTTCAAAGCCTTTCACCGAGTCCTTTCCCCTCCCTCGCTCCCAGACCAGTTTGTGCTGTTCTAAAAATGAAATTCCGCCGGTTAAATTAAGTGCACTGAGATTCAGTGCTTTCAAAGAGGAGGCCAATCAAAAGTTGGAAAGAGTCGCAAGGCACGCCCACTTCTGGCAAGGTCGACACTTTCAGGAGCGAACGTCGGGCTGTTCCAGCTTGTGCAAAAGGCACATGCTCGAAAGTCAACAGGAAACGCAAATTGAAAGAGCAGCGCGTTTTAGTTTTACAGGGAAAAGACTTTGAAGATGTTGAAACGGAAAACCCAACTGCTGAATAGGGAGGGGTGTTTGTTTGGTAAAGGTGAAAGAAGAAGGCCCCGGAGCAAGGACGTGGAATAAAAATGCACCAAGCCAGCTCTGTTCCTGTAGCGGGCAGCTCCCAGGTGTGTGGATCAGTGCTGGATATGGGAGCAGGGTGTTGCTGGAGAAAAGAAAAAGTAGTTTCAGCAGAACCTTTCCCTGGATAAATAAAGGTTAAGAGAACGCACAGCACTGTCAAAATGGCTGTTAATCCCCCACACTGCCTTTAGCACACACACACACACACCTTTGAACTTTCTCACGGCTGCACACACAAGGACCCGCATACCAGCATCAGTCCTGCTATTGTGAACGTCACAGGCTAGAAAAAAATACAACATGAGAGCTCACTCATTCGCTCGCTCGCTCGCGCACGCACGCACACGCACACACACGCACACGCACACGCACACGCACACACACGCACACACGCACTCTTTTGACAGACTCATGTACACATGCTCAAACTTCATCCAGTCACGCCTTGATAAGTCAGTCAGTCAACCAAATCTGCTGACGAAGTCTTCTTCACACAACCTTGATGTCATGGGTAAGTGTTATTTCCTCATGTCGGAGCTATTCACTTCTCAGTTATCTATTCAAATGTGCTTCATTTGATTTTTTTGTTGTTGCTCTTAAGGCTGTGAACAACATGGAGTCACACAAAGAGAACAGGAACAAATGTCCACCGGCATCTCCTGCGCCTCCAGGATTGTTCCTGTTAAGAGTGTGTACCTGTCCTCTACCGCACATCATTAAGCTAACAGTGCAGGTTGTCCTCTCTCTAAGTCCTTTAACCCTTCAACTCTTCTGAAGGTACAAAGCGTGAAAGCGCCAGCGAAGAGATGGGAGGATAACTGAATTTGACATTAAAAAAAAAATACTTGGGGACACTTGAAAAGGAGAAAAGAGGATACTGCTCGAGTGCAGAGGCAAAGCACACATTTCCATATCTCTTACACCTCTTTAGGACCCCGAGGGACTATTGAGGAATGAAAAAATGGGTACAGAGAGAGAGGGAGTAAAAGAGGGGTGGGACAAAGAAACGTACAGGCCGAAGGATTCAGTAAGGAAAATAGGAGGAAGCGGATGGGAGGAAATAAAAAAATAAAAAGATGGAAGGATGAAGGCAGACTGAGTAATAAGAGGCAGAGCCACCCAGACCTCGCCCGACTGATTCATGGCATGGATTGTCTGACACGTTATAGCCCAACACACACACACACTCTGATTATCTTGACACCGCCTCTTTTCACACACACACTCAGTCTGATTATCTTGACTCTTTTCACACACGCACAATCACCACATGCAAACAAGCTCTCATAGACACAACCGTCCTTGATTTTCTTTGATTCGTGACACAATGAGGTAACATGGAATCCCCGGCGATATAAACACACACACACAAAATGGTGTCAGGTCGCTCTGCCCTCAGTGCTCCGTAACTCTTTATGGCAGTTAATGACAGGCCAGGCTTATAAAAGAGTCTCTCTCAATCATTCACACACACGTATGAAAAATATGTGCTTCCTCATGGTAACGTAAAAATCAGAGCAACGTTTTATCCAAGTCTCCGATAGATAATACAGGAAATTGACGACCTCATAGGAGATTTGGTTGAGAATGTCTGGTTTCTTGTAAATCACACACACACACACACACACACACACACACACACACACACTACAGCGCAGCATAAATCTGCTAACAAGCAAGTGTACGGCCGAAGATTATCACAGTATAACTTTTAGAAGCGATGACTGTGACATTCCTCCTTACTGCTGAGTTCATGACTAAGGCGGATTAGCCAGACTTCAATTCCTGCTCATCATATGGATGGGATTAACCTGTGCTATGGATCATACACACACACACACACACACACGGGAACAGCTCAGCGCACACACTCGCATACGCTACAATAGGCCGCACAGGACATAATCAGACGCAGACACACAAAAATGCTCGTACGTTTTCTGTCCACTGCCTCTCTTCCTCACACTCACAGACGGCAGATGGTAAAAACAGGCCTGTGTTGCCATACCGCCAGTAAAGCTTGTTAAGTCATCTGCTGCTCTTTAGATCGCTAACAATGTTATCATTTGGCTGTGGTAACCACAGTGATGCCCTGTGTGTGTGTACTTGCGTGCATGAAAAGACAGGCTGGACTGCGTCTCTAAAGAACAGTATCAAAAGAGCACACACACACACAGTCATGTAAATGACTGAGCTGAGCGCTGAATAGCCACAACAGTGTGAGCAGTTTACTGACTTTCCGGTTTGCCTCTCATCACCTGATCAGATCTCATGAGCCCCAAACCAATACTGAGTTGAGCCAGCATCAAGATACCAATTCCACAACGTTCGCATACACCCGAGGCAGCTCAACCGTCTATTTTAAGTGCTAACCTGTGGGGTAAATAAACATGGGATTAGGAGGAGACAACACTTAAAACCACTTTTTTTTTTTTAAAAACAGGAATTAGACCGTGTTTTCTTACTGTGAATGTGAATGCATGGCCACTAAAAAAAAAAAAAAAAAAAACTAAAAAAAAACCTACATACGTGCGAATGTTATTTGTGCGTTACGTTCTCACTCTACCATTCTCATACAGTCAAACCTGTTTTTAGGGTCAGAGTCAACCTGTAAAATGTATCATGTAGAAAATCAAAAGAAACAACTGTAACAGCCTGTGTGCTAATCAGACCACAAACAAGTTGTTGGGGAGAATGTTCAGTGCACATGACAAAACTTTTATCCATATATAAAGTAAAACAAACAAACAAATATATGTCAAATGATCTAGAGGAGGTGTAGTCAAGTGAGCCAGGTGGGCATGTCTGAGAGTGTGACACACTAAACGGGCCTCTGAAGAATTTGGGTTGACACCACCAGGTGCATGTCCTGTTTGTGGAGCAATATGCACTTTGCATAGAGTTTCAGTTGAAAACATGAGTCAACAAGTCAAACACATACAAATCTTTGTACACAAACCCATGTGTGTGTGCGTGTGTGTGTGTAGTGTCAACACAGACATAAACAAAGACAAACACACACGGCCGCTCAAAGGGCTCCGTTAATCATGAAAGACCCGATGATGTGGACGTGGTTGAGGGTATAATGGCATAATTCTGTGTCATTGAGTTATTTTACACTGACTGCACTTTTAACCCGACTCAGACGATAATATGACAAAGACTGTTCAAATCCCCTGATTACATTATGAGGTCACACTTGAAGAGAACATAAAATCGATTGAACGTGGTCGTCGACAGCTTAAGTTGCTTTAAAGACGTGTCAACTCCACCTTAATTAAACAATGACTATCTGCGTGTGCGCTGACTTTGGGATAACAGTTCAATTGCTTGACGATGTCTGTAACTGTAAATGTTACAAAAAAAACAAACAGGCTGAAATAGTGAGTCGGTTCATTTTGATAATCGATGAACCAAAAGTAATTTCTCAAACAAAAATAGGAAACATTCTCTAGTTGCAGCTTCTCAACTGTGGAGGATTCGCTCCTTCTTTTTATTTATGCGATAGTAAACTGAATATCTTGGGTTTTGGAAAGTTGGTCCGAACAAAAAAAAAAAAAAAACAACTTGACAAGTTCAACGAACTGTGATTGTGGAAACGGTACAGAGCAACAAAATGTCAGACCCATAAAAAGACCAGTTTGCTGGCAGGATCTTTCATGAACATGACATCATGGGGTGAAACAGATTCAGTAAACAGAACAAACAATAAGCGACCTGTGCTCAGAGCGAGGTGAACAGCGGCCATGTGTACATACTCCTTGTGCGTGAGTGTCTGTGTGAATGTGCCTGCATACAGTACCGTTTCACAGGAAGCGGTGCATGCTCCTTTATGTCACCCCACTGGGGCTTGCCAAGTGCTCGCATGTGTGTATGTGCGTGTGGGTGTGTGAGAGAGTGAAAAAAGGGTTTATCTCTGTCTACAAAAAGGCGTGCGTGTGAGCACTGCAAGCCACTGAGCTCCTCTGTGCAGCCTATTCGTGTGAGCGTCTGTGTGCCAAGCAGTGTGTGTGTGTGTGTGTGTGTGTGTGTACACAGTAGTGTGCATGTCTATGACCGAGGGAAGATGAGAAGCTGCCAAGTGCGTCTGTGTCAGTGACCACACAAGGCAACTGGGGGTCATGGAAGTTAACAGCTTTCTGCCATAAGTTGGACGGAGCTCCGGCCAATCACAGGGTGAGTTTTGGAGCGGGGGGGGGGG